GGCACAGTCCTAGCATCCCATAGGAGCTACAGGTACACTAACCTGTGAGTGCCCGGGGGAAGGAGCGGCTGTCAGCAGCCGGAATTTCAGCTGTCTATTGGCCACACAAAGGGTTTAGGCAAGGTCCCCCGACATTTTTGTGTATTTGTACTAGCCTTCTAAAATATATTTATGTAAATATCTAGGGCCTCCACTAGCAACGGCTTTGCCAGGTTCATATACTGAACAGTCACCTTGTGAGCATTTACTTTAATACGTGGCCTGACTTTGGTTCACAGCCTCTGGTTCAGGCCTTACATTTTTTTGCACCAGGCCCAATGCTCCAGGCTCTTTCTCTACTACAAACAGTTGCTGCACCCCACCCCAGGAGCAGCCACATCTCAGAACCGGGCAAGGGACCAAACAGCCCCCACATCTTACCCCCAGTGGTGGCTGCATCTCAGCGCCAGGCGAGGGATCCCTGTATAAACTGTCCCCCATACTCCACCCCATAGATAGCGCTGAGATGCAGCCGGGCAAGGGCCCTTTAAGGCTTATCAGGGTGGAGGGGCGATAGCTCCCATTTCTCTCCTGGGAACTGGCTTGGGGGGCCCTTGTGGGGCAGGGAGTGTGTGGCCCTGCTCACAGTGGCGTGTGTCTCAGGCCCGGGACGTGTACGAGGAGGCCATCCAGACGGTGATGACGGTGCGAGATTTCACCCAGGTGTTTGACAGCTATGCCCAGTTCGAGGAGAGCATGATTGCAGCCAAGATGGAGACCACCTCTGAGCTGGGGCAGGAGGAGGAGGGTGAGTGGGGAGCTGGGCCCTGCCTGCGAGTAACATGCAGCGCTCCCCAGCAGGGATTGGCCGGCCCAGGGAGGCAGAGCCCCAAGTGGGGCCCTGGGGGATAAGGGGGTAATGCTGACTTCTGCAGTTACACCACTTACACCAGGGCTGCATTTGGCCTCCAGACTCTGGCAGCTGATTGCTCTTCATGGGAAGCACAAATGACCACTCAGAAGGGGTGGAGGATAGTAAGACCCTGCTAGGCCCAGTGGGTAGAGCTGGGAATCAGGACTCCTGGGTTTGAGTCCCAGCTCTGGGAGGGGAGTGGGGAGCGTAAAACAGGGGGGGTGCTGGGACTCAGGACTCCTGGGGTCACGTCTCTGTGCTTCTGTTCCCCTGTGTAAGACAGGGATAACTAGTCCTTCCCCTTGGCGTTTCCTGGGGTCTGAGGCTGGAGGCGCATGCGCCTTGCTTCCTGCCTGTGCACGTTCTAATATGAGAGGGGGTAGAAATGGGAGCTATTAAACACCTTCCCCTCCCCTCCGCCGCCTGCTCCCCCACCCCTGGCTTGGAGGGCTGCACTGTCCTTGCACTCCTGGTCCGATCCAGTGCTGGTGGCTCATGGCATGCTGGGTCTGAGGCAGGTCACAGACAGGGCAGGGTGCTGGGTGGTTGGTTCGTAGCCCACAGTGGGGTGGGAGGACCCTGCTGAGTTGTCCTAGGAGGCCGGGGGTTCTTGGTGAGGGGGAGAGCTGGGGTGTCTAGCATCTGGCAGTGTATCAGCTTGTCGCCCCCCTGCTGTGGGGGTCCAGGCCCGGCAGGGACACTGGGGCAGTGGCTAATCTGCCTGTGCCTCTCCCCACTACAGATGACGTGGACCTGGAACTGCGCCTGGCTCGCTTTGAGCAGCTGATCACACGGCGCCCCCTGCTGCTCAACAGCGTGCTGCTGCGCCAGAATCCCCACAACGTCCACGAGTGGCACAAGCGCGTGAAGCTCTACGAGGGCAAACCCCGAGAGGTAGGGCCAGCTCATCCCCCGGGGGAGCATGCAGGGGCCATCCCCCTGGGTCTCTGCCTTGTCATCCCAGTGACAACCCCCCCCACCCCACCCCCCGTGGCATCCTGGGGGAGTTCGGAAATGGGCAGAGGTGCAGCTGCCTCTGGGGCATGGGGAACATGGGAGCTGTTTATACAGGGACTCCTCATCTGGTGCTGAGATGCAGCTGCCTCTGGGGTAATGGGAAGGGGCTGGCTTTACAGGGATCCTGTGCCTGGTGCTGAGATGCAGCCATCTCTGGGGTGGGACAAATCTCCCCTGCTAATCAGTGCTGCACGAGGCAGAGACTGGTAAGTGGTTTGGGTGAGTCAGGACACCTGAGTTCCCTGTACTGCCCCACACTCCCTGTTCTCTCTGGCAAGTGGCACCGTTGTTCTGTACCTTGGTTTCCCTGTCTCTAAGATGAGGGTGGTCACTGCGTCCTTGGGAAGCTGCGGGGATGAGAGTTGCTGGCTATGCAGTGTCCTGGGCTGCCCAAGAGGGCGCTGTAGTGGGGGGTGCAGGGCTGGTGTGCTACACAGAGGTAGGCTGTGCAGCTGGCACTGCCCTGGGCCCTCCTGCCCCAGGCGGGGTCAGTGCATTTCCCAGCTGTGCACGTCTCCCTCACTGCGCCTGTTCACCCCGACCTGAGCCCAGTGGATTCACGGGATCAGTGCTACGGCCCCAGCTTTGGAACAGTCCCTCGGAGGAGCCTTCCCTTGTGCCAGACCCCCTCAGGCTGTCATGCTTCCTCCAGGGTGAGCCCCATGGCTTCACCGCCTCCGGAGCCTGGGCCTTTGGGTTTCCGCACCCCTGCGTCACCCCACGAGCTGCGTTCAGCGAGTCCCACGGGGACAGACCCCATGCGGGATTCGTGAGCTCACCCAGCATTGGCTGCGACGCTCACACAGCGTTGTCAGAACAGTCGGGGTTATCAGTCACCCTGAAGGCAGCATGGGGAGTCCGTAGTCAGCCCGGAGCACTGAGATTAAAGCACAGACCCTCCTGCTCAGCCCAGAGCCCAGCCAAGCTGGAGCGAGCCCCTTTGTTCAAGCTCTGTCTGACCCTCCATCAACCTTGCTCAACCCCAAGCGAGAGCCCCCGACTCCTTCCAGCAGCCAGCCCTGGTCCCCCACCTCAGACCTTGGCAGTCCCTTGATCTCCAGCTGGGGGGCTGCTGTTCGGCTTCCCTAAGGAGAGGTGGGGAAGTCTCTCCCTGGGTCCTTGGGTGCTAGGTGTCAACGGCCTGGAATTTGGAGTTCCCATTGACTTCTCAGATGCTCCACTGCCATGGGGAATAAGGCTCCGGCAGCTAGGCAGCACCTCCAGCCGTCTCCTAGCCTGCCCCGAGAGCAACCAGGCTCTTGTCACTCGCTGGGAAACTGAGGCAGGAGCAGGACTCACAAACTATTCCCACTTCGTCCCATCTGGCAGTGGGTGTAAGTGGCTGCGCAAGGAGTGGGGCAGCAAGGACTTGTCTTGTCTTTGGGCATGTGTCCAGAGCATTAGAACAGCTAGGGCACAGGGAATGGCTACAGGCACCGGTTCTGATCTGGCTGGGGCAGGGGATGAGGGTGAGGAGCCGTGTCGCTGGTTCTGATCCAGGCTTGAGCCCAGGGCATAGGGCCCGGGTTCCAATCCAGGCTGGGAATGACTGAAAGCTCCTCCCATTTTATGACTGTGTGGTGTGGGTGGATTTCGGTCCATTTCCTCATCACTGGGTTCTGTGAGATCACCAGGGAGACTCACTTGCCCCAGTGAGGAGCCAAGGGAAACAGAACTCCACCCTCACCCCTAGAGAGCGCCCCTCTGGGGCAGGGGGAGGGGTTGCGTGGGCCCTGCTGTAGCAGCTCTGTTGGCAAAGGCCTTCAGCAGAGCATTCCCTTCTCCCGCTGGGTCCACCACTGGCGCCCACCTGCCCCCACAGATCATCAACACCTACACAGAGGCCGTGCAGACCGTGGACCCCTTCAAGGCCACTGGCAAGACACACACACTCTGGGTCTCCTTCGCCAAGTTCTACGAGGACAATGGGCAGATTGAGGATGTGAGTGTTGCTGGGGGCGCGGAGTGAGAACGGCCAAGAGAAGCTACCCCTCTCCATGCCCTGGGCCAGGGGACTCATCGGGAGGTTGGGGTGTGGGGTGGTAGGCCCCTCATCCTGAGGCATCACCCAAGAGGGCTCATGTTCCCAGCAGTGGCTGCTAGTGGGGATTAAACTGGGCAGGAGCATCGGCCAAGCACCTGGAGAGAGAGTCTGCGCAGAGTCCCCATTAATGCCAACCCTGGGGGGCCAGGGCAGAGGGGTCTGTGAGGGAGGGATTCTGCCTGGCTGGGTGCGCTGTGTCTGGGCCCCTGCCGGAGCCTGGGGAAGGGAGTGGGCGGAGCTCCTGCCACAGCTCCGGGGAGCGGGCTGGCCTGGGGCTGGAGGGGGGGGTGGGCAGCTTGTGCTCCCTCTGATTCTGCCTCCCTCCCCTTCCCCAGGCCAGGACCATATTTGAGAAAGCCACCAAGGTGAACTTCAAGCAGGTGGACGACCTGGCCTGCGTGTGGTGCGAGTACGGGGAGATGGAGCTGCGCCATGAGAACTATGACCAGGCCCTGCGCATCCTCCGGGTGAGCCCAGCCCTGCTGGGCACGGGGGGGTGATGGGAGTGGCAATGTGGGGTACGAGGGCAAGCACCGGCAACCATCCCTCCGGCTGCTGGAGAGTCCTGGGTGGGTAGAGGAGAGAGGAACATCTTGAGGTTGAGGCCCAGGCTCCACGGTTCCACTCCCAGCTCTGAGAGGGATGGGGATTGGGTGGGGGGGAGCAGGAACCAGGACTCCTGGGTTCTGCTCCCAGCTTTGGGAGGGGTGTGGGGGGTCTAATGGTTAGAATGGGGGTGGGGGGGGGCAGGAACCAGGACTCCTGGGTTCCACTTCCAGCTGTGGAAGGGGCAGCCGGTCTAGTGGTTTGAGTGTGAGCCATGTTTTGCTGGGGACACAGTGAGTGATGGTGAGAAGCTGCCTGCGTGGCGCCTGCCAGGGGATGTCATGGGTCCCTGAATCGCCCTGCCCACTCTGTTTGCTGCTGGCAGTGAAATCCTGGGCACAGGGTTCGCTGCCCCCACTGAGCGCCCTCCTCTCTTGCCCCACAGAAAGCCACGGCCATCCCAGCCAAGAAAGCAGAGTACTTCGATGCCTCGGAGCCCGTCCAGAACCGTGTGTACAAGTCCCTCAAGGTCTGGTCCATGCTGGCCGACCTGGAAGAGAGCCTGGGCACCTTCAAGGTGAGGATACCCACCCTTGTCAGGGGCCAGGTCCCGAGGGGGGTCACGGAGCCGGGCCCTAGCTGCTATCCGGCAGAGGAACTGGGGGAGAGAGGGGGTGGACTCCACTGAGGATGGTGCCAGGCTCAGCCTGCACCCGCCCCTGCCCATCCTGCTGGGTCACCTGGATCCCTGCAGCATGCCAGCCCTTACTGTAATCCACCTAATACTGCTGCCGGCCTGGTCTTCTCTCCTAGTCCACCAAGGCGGTGTACGACCGCATCCTGGACCTGCGCATCGCCACGCCCCAGATCATCATCAACTATGCCCTCTTCCTGGAGGAGCACACCTACTTCGAGGAGAGCTTCAAGGTGCAGGGGAGCTCCGTTGTTAAGGGCGAGGGAGGGTGGGACTTAGCTGGGCTCCGAGAAGCAGAGTTGGGGTGGGGGGAGGTACTGGTGGGCAGGGCTAGCAGAGCCCCTGATTGGCAGGTGTTTGCCCAGTGAGGGAGGGGCTGCAGATCTGGCTGGGTCAAAAGGGCTCTGAGGTGGCACCGTGGGAATTAGAGGGTTAATGTGCAGATCTGGGGGGGTGGGGGTGCGATTGCTCCCAGGGGGGGTCATGGAAGTGTCCCCAGTTGCTGCCAGGCGTTAGGGCTCCAGGGGGGACCCAGGCAGCCATGCTCACACTCCTCCCTCGGCAGGCCTACGAGAGGGGCATCTCCCTGTTCCGCTGGCCCAACGTGTATGACATTTGGAACACCTACCTGACCAAGTTCATCGACCGCTATGGCGGCAAGAAGCTGGAGCGTGCCCGCGACCTCTTCGAGCAGGCGCTGGACGGCTGCCCCCAGAAATATGCCAAGAGTATGTTGGGGGAGGGGGTGTTTTCTGGCTCCCCGATATGAGGGCATCCTGGCATCAACTGCCATGTGGCGCTGTCTGGCCAGCATTCCACCCGCACTGGTGCCCAGTCCTGTCTCCAAGCCGAGGGGAGCCCTGGCGGATGGGATACTGAAGTGGGGAGCCCAGCCCCACTGGGCCCTGTGGCTCCATGTAGACTCAGGCACAGACTGATGTGTGGCAAAGAGGGCCTGAGACCCTGGGCAGTGGCAGGGCCAGTGCCCCCATATGCAGCCCCCCTGCCAGCCAGCTTTGCCTCTACCCCAGTGGTGCTGCGGGTTTCTGATTTGATTCCGAGTCACCCTGTGGCCTGGTGTCCCTGTACTAGGGCCCTCAGTCGTACCCTGTGCCAGCCGGCCCCTGACTCACCCTGTCCCCACAGCCATCTACCTGTTGTATGCCAAGCTGGAGGAGGAGTTCGGGCTGGCGCGGCATGCCATGGCGGTGTATGAGCGGGCCACGCGGGCCGTGCAGCCCTCGGAGCAGTACGAGATGTACAACATCTACATCAAGCGGGCGGCCGAGATCTACGGGGTCACCCACACCCGCAGCATCTATGAGAAGGCCATTGAGGTGAGGTAGGGGGCAGGGCTGGTGGAGCTTTCCCTCTCCCCCCTCACACACATGGGCCTAGAGCCGTGCCCCCACACCAGTGTGCCAGTGCATTGGGCTGTCCTAGGCCCCTTCCTGCCATTCCCTTGGAGAAACCCCTCCCAGCCTCCTGCACCCACATCCCATGGGCCAGTGCTGAGGAGTCCTAGACCCATCCAGCAGGCAGTGAGAGGCATGGGCTGGCTGAGGTCCCAGCGCTGGAGGGTAGCACTGCCTTCTTGTAGCAGGGGCGCTCGGGCGGCAGAGATGGGCACAGACAGCACTGGGCCGAGCCCCAAACACCCCTGGCACTCTGCAGCCCAAGGCTGTGAAGCCACGAACCCGGGATCTTGGGGTGGGGGAGAGGCCTGTTCTGAGCCGCAGCCTGCAGGGAGCACACTGCATGGCATCCTGACTCCCCCACCCAGGAGTGGGGCCGGGGGCATGGCAGCGCATGCTGTGAGGTCCATCTGTCCGTCCATCCCCCCCAGGGTGCGATGGGGGGTGGGGCTGGTGGGATTCAGGGCACTCTCTCCCAGGTGCTGTCAGACGAGCACGCCCGCGAGATGTGCCAGCGCTTTGCCGACATGGAATGCAAGCTGGGCGAGATCGACCGGGCCCGGGCCATCTACTCCTACTGCTCGCAGATCTGTGACCCCCGGGTAAGGGCCCCGGGCAAACGTGGACTGGCAGAGCAAGCCAGGTCCTGGGGGTGGGATTGTCCCCTACAGTCTGGTCCCTGACACTACCGTCCTCCGGCTTGGTTTCCCTGCTACTCTGTCCAGCCAGGTGGGCTTTGGGCCCTGCTAGAGGGGTCAGTTGCCCTGGAGGAGGCTGGGAGATGGACCAGTGCCACCCTCACTCCTGGAGCTGGCAGTGGAGGGCTCGACCCTTGACCCCCCCACCACCAATTGGCACTACAGTGACCCGGGGTGCCCACCCTGCACCCCCTCCCCCCTGGCTATGGTGGGGATGCAGCAGTGCTGGACATGGGCCTCCCGCCAGACCAGAACCAGGGTGGGTGGGGGTGTCTCGCTGTGACTGCTGGAACCTGTAGCCCGGGAGTGAGTGGGGAGGGGCTTGACTGTGATAAGGCCCCTATAAATGGGTGCAGGGCTCCCCCTCTGCCCTTTTCTGGGCATTACTGCCACAGAGATATTTAAGAGTAGGTTAGATAAGTGTCTATCAGGGATGGTCTAGATGGTATTTGGTCCTGCCATGCGGGCAGGGGACTGGACTCGATGACCTCTCGAGGTCCCTTCCAGTCCTAGAATCTATGAATCTATCCCCAGCCCCAGGACAGCCCTGGGCTAAGTCTGGCTCTTTAGGGGTGGGGCTCCCTGAGGCCACACCCACACTGGGGGCGAGTCTTGCAGACCATGGAGCTAGAGGGGTGGTGTTTAGGTGGTTTAGTGCCCCAGGAGTGGCCCAGCATCCTGCCACCATCTCCAGTAACAGCCTGAGCCCTGGGGGGAGATAGCCTCTGAGCTGGGTGGGGGTGGTCTAGTAGCAGTTACTGGGGTGAGGGGACGGGTAGGACAGGCCATGGGAGTGGGCACCGCAAGGCTCACTCCCGTTGTCCACCCCCACCCCGCAGACCACAGGCTCCTTCTGGCAGACGTGGAAGGACTTTGAGATCCGGCACGGGAACGAAGACACGATCCGGGAGATGCTGCGCATCAAACGCAGCGTCCAGGCCACCTACAACACCCAGGTCAACTTCATGGCCTCGCAGATGCTCAAAGTCTCCAGCAACGCCACGGGCACCGGTAAGCAACCCCTGCATAGGGTGGGAGCCTTGGGGGCACCTGTATCCCACCCCGAGGGCTCCCTGGCATTCACCCTGCTGTCTGGTTCCAGTGTCAGACCTGGCGCCGGGGCAGAGTGGTATGGACGACATGAAGCTGCTAGAGCAGCGGGCAGAGCAGTTGGCGGCCGAGGCAGAGCGGGACAAACCCCGGACCAAGGAGAAGATCCTCTTTGTCAGGTCTGTATGTATAGGGCTGCTTGTGGTGACTACACCTACCATTATGCATCTGGGCAGCCAGCCCTACTGCATGCTGGGGCTCGGCTCCCCTGCCTTTTAGCCAGCAATGGCTCTGATGTGCCCCTTGCCCAGGGCCCAGTGTGCCAGTGCAGCCTGGGGCTGAAAGCCACGCTGGCTTCTCACCAGCTGAGCCCGTAACCCCCAACCACCCTCCCTGCTTGGCGCTGCCCTCACCCCTTCCCCGTGGGCTGGGGCTGGCACCCACGGCATAGCCAGCCATAGCCCCCCGCACACTGGGTGGAGCCTGTCCTAGGCCTAAACTCATGTGGGGAGCTGTGGATGGATGGGGGTGGGCACAGTGGGGGCCCAAGACTGTTTGTGGAGTAGCTGGCATAGGGAGGACTTGCTCACTCCCCTCCCCCCCGGTATGTTGGCAGGAGCGATGCGTCACGCAGCGAGCTGGCCGCACTGTCCAGGCAAGCGAACCCTGACGAGATCGACATTGACGAGGAGGAGGAGGGGGATGAGAGCGAGGAGAATGAGCCTGATGGTAAGGGGGGTGTGCAGTTGTGGCTGGGGGAGGGGCCTAGTGTAGCTGGATACGTCCTGCCCCTCAGGCTGAGGATGGGAGATGGGCAGGATCTGTCTCCTGGCCGTAGGCGGGTGCCTCTGGGTGCTGGCTCACCACTGACTCACCCTCCCCTTCTCCCTGCAGAGGTGCAGCTGGAGCAGCAGAGCATCCCCTCGGCTGTGTTTGGGGGGCTGAAGACCGACTGAACTGGAACTGGGGGCAGCTAGTGGACACCATGGATCCTGCTCCCCTCCTGGACTGCGGGCAGAGGGGTCTGGACTTTGAGATTCCTGGGCTGGTGCTGGCCTGTGGCTGATCCCCTAGAGCATGGGCTGAGTGTCCATCCCCCTGTGGCTGGCTGGAGCCATGCCCTATCCCTCACCCAGGGGAACACTGCTGCCCTAGTTCTCCTGGGCCTGTAGGCCAAGCAGGCTCCCTGAGTTCTGGGCTGTGGGGCCCTGGCTCCTAGCAGGGAGGGGGTGGAATGGGATAGGGCTGTGCCACCCAGGCAGGGGAGGACCCTGCTCAGGGCCACTGGCAGGAGGGTGTGGAGCCAGCCTGTCCACCCCTCCCCCATGAAGCACTTTGGGAGCCAGGCTTGTTAGGGGGGAGGGAGCCAGTCCTGGATCTGGGCTCAGGCCTGGGGCCCATCTGACTGGGGCTAATCTGCCCCTCCATCTGGTCTCCACCAGCTAGTGAGTAGGGTGAACCATGTGCTTGGTGCTCTTCCCCCACTGCTGCCATGGCTGGGGCATGGGTGGCCACACCCCTGGCTCTGGTGCAGGGAGAGGGGGAGCGCTCCCCCTGAAGGGGCAGCTATGTCTGAGGCAGGGTGTTTTACTATAAATGTTTCTTTTTCTCACCCCAGCTGGGCTGTCATTGCTCAGGGAGGGGGGGCAGGGGCTTGGGAACAGCTCTAGGCAGTGTGCCCCCCTCCCCCCCCCCCAGCACTCTGGCCTCTCTTCTCTTCCACCTACACCCCACCCCCCCTGAGCTGGGCAGGGACAGGGTGACAGTTCACCCTGGGTCAGGTAGCTCCCTGGCCATGGGCTCAAGCCTGCAGGGCCAGAGCCTGGGCTTGCCTTGGGGGAGGCCTACCCCTCCCCCCCTTGCACAATGCTATTCTAGGGCAGGGCTGGGGAAGAGGGACCCTGTTCTGGCCAGGCCCAGCCAAGCCCTCAGTGCAGGAGGGATGATGTGAGGTGGAGGGGGGGGTTGGAACTGAGTGGCAGCCCAGGCACCTTTGAGTATTATTAGGGTTAAACATGCTGGTCAGGCACCAGTTCTGCTCCCTGGACCAGCTGATACAAGGTGAGGCTATATCAGAGCAGTTCTTGCTGGTGTGTGTGTGTGGGGGGGGTGTAGAGTCATTGCAGGCCAGGAGCCAACCCCCCCTCCCCCCCCAAAAAAAGCATTTTCCACATGCAGCCCTTAGCTCCTGCTGAGTGCCAGCAAGGGCTTGGCCTGCACCATGTGGGAGGGGTGGGGAAGAAGTTTGTTTTTCCATCATAAAACCACAAAGGAAAAATTTTCCATGTAGGATTCAACTGAAACCACCGGCTGCCCCTTTGAGTCTTGATCCCAGGGCCCCTGCTCTGCCCCACTTGACTCATCCTTCCCTAAGCTGGGCCTAGCGCCCAGCTCCCCTGTGCACTGGGGCAGCAGGGGGAGGCTGCTAGCCTGGGCATCTGCTGCTCTTCTGATGAGGAACCAGGCAGAGACAGAAGCTCGTTTAAGTTACTTTATTAAGTGACAGGGTGAAGGCCCTGCCAGCTCATTACAGCATTGCCCAACCCCCCCCCAAACCACAGGGAGCCAGCAGGCCCTGCCCCCTTCACCCTGCCCAGGCATCAGTGCCAGGGGGCTGTCACCGGACCAGGCCCAGCTCCCCTTCCCTCTGCTCCAGCCAGCCCCCTAAAAGGGAGCAGGCCCCTCCCAGCTGGCCAGCACTCCAGCTTCAGCCCCAACCAGGGGCACAGGCAGCAGCTACCTGGGCTAGGAGGGGTGGGGGAGCCATGGGCACTGGGAGTCCTGCTCCCTGGGGCAGCTGCAGGTGGGCTCAGGCCAGGTTCTTCCCCCCCCCCCCCCCCCCCCGGGTCCATGGTGCCCAGTCCTGTGCCCAGCACCCTTCCTGCAAGGGGGAAAATTCAACACAGAATTCAATTGTGGCAGAAGCTCAGAAGATACAAAATAGACAAGACATGAAGGAAGAGACAGACACCCCCCACCTCCACCCATTGTCCCTCCCCCCTGCCCATCCCGCTTATCAAATGCAACTCACTATATACAAATCATTGCAAAATCATTTAAATAGCTCAATCTCTGTATAGTTATGTATAATGTACACAGCCCAGGGGCCAGGCCCTGATCCACACCTCATGGAGGGAGGGGGAGAGACATGCCCCTGGGGTGCAGTCTGACATTCAGATGGTGGGGGGGGGGGTGCAGAGAGCAGAGTAGCCAGCCTAGGGGCACCTAGCCCCTCCCCTCAGCATAGGTTAGGGGCAGGGCCAGGCCTTACCAAGTCAGTTCTCTCCCCTGTGCCCTTTGACCCCATAGTTTTAGTGTATTTGGCAGTTCCCAGGATAAGCCCTTCCCCTGCCTTGCTGGGCCCTGCCTGGGCACACGTGTCCTGCAGCAGCAGCTGTGTGAAGGATTAGCTCAGCTCAGAGAGGCCAGGAGAGGTTATTTAGGGGTGCCTGGCTTCTTAGGGGTGCCTGGCTTCTTGGTCTGCCAGAGGTGGCCCTGGATGGTGATGGCATCAACGCTCATGGACATGGTCTTGGCAGGGATCTGGGTGAAGCGCTTGCGGTCCGAGTTGTACTTGTAGATGCCCTCGATCATGGCCTGGCTGATGGTGCGGGGACCATAGCCCGTCAAGCGCATCAGCTCCTCTGTCTCCCCTGCCGGTGTGTAGAGCGCTCGGAACTGGCAGCTGGAGTCTCGGAACAGGATCAGGAAGTGATGGGCCTTGCTCTTTTCCATCTCCTGGGGAGCAGGGGAGGGATTAGAGACCAGACAAGCCCTCAGCCCTATAACACAAGAGCCCCCTCCCCCTTCGCCCCCCAGCCATACCCCAGTGGGGCCACCTCTTCAGCCAAAAGGTGCACCCAGTCACCTCCCGCTCTGGGATGAAGGAGTAAGGGCCCCCCCCTCACCTCCAGGATCTTGTTCTTGTGGGGCTCGTTGACGCGGCCAGCCAGGCAGCAGTGTGACAGCGCATTGTGGATGATGTGCTTGTTGGACTTGGCGCTTGGCTCTTTATACAACTTGGGCCCTGCCAGGGAGAGTTGGTTAGAGCTAGATCCAGTGACCTAGGAACTGCCCCACCAGGCTCTGCCCCCGGGGGACCTCCCACGGGGCTCCAGCCGGCCAACAGACCAGCCCAGGCAGTTCTAATCAATGTCCATGGGGATGGAGGTGGCAGCTAGAGGTGTTGAGGGGAGGGGTGTCTCAGGGCTGGGGCAGGCAGCAGGAGGTGGAGGCAGGTGAGAGGCTGGGTGGGGACAGGGTTTCAGACATTGTGACAAAGTGGGAACTTTTTTTATGAATCCTATGTGCCTCAGTTTCCCCTGTTTTTTGCATGGGGGGAGGACTGTTTGCTCTTAGCCTGCCCTAAGAGACAGAGGTCAGAGTGGCACAGAGCTACTGAGCACAGACCCCAGCTCGAAAACAAAAGGATTGGGGGGTGGGGGGAGCATTGGCTCCCACCTGGGATCTGAGCAAGGTGGTCAGAGTCTGAATGTCAGGGCTTGGCCAGGCTCAGGGCTTCACCCATCATTGCTCTGGGCTGGCCTAAGGACTTCCCAGGCTGGGGTCCAGGTACCTAAGAAACCCGACTGTTCTGACAACGCTGGGGGAGTGGCCCTGTCACCCGGGCTGAGGGGCGTCGGGCCCTGCGGATTGGACAGGTCTGTACCAGGGTCTGTCTCAGCTGGACTCGCTGGGCAGGGCTCACAAGGTGAAGCCCAGCGGGTCAGTCTCAGGAGGTGGGGACGCCGTGTGGCCTGTCCTGGAGGAAGAGAGAGACCTGTTGGGGTCTGGCACAGCAAAGGGCTTCCTCTCAGAGACTTCCCCAGCTGGGGCCCTGGCCCCTGGGTACTCAGGGATGGAAGTAGGGGCAGTGGAGGCAGAGCAGGAGAGGGAAGGGGTCTCACCCATTTACTCGGGGATGGAGGCTGGAGAGGAGGCAGTGAGGGGAGTGGGGTGGAGGCAGGGCAGGTATCTTACCCATGTACTCTGGATGGAGACAGGGTGGTGGGGGAAGGCAAGAGGGGGGATGCAGGGTGGGGAGGCAGCAGCGGATCTCACCCATGTACTTGGGGCTGGAGGGGGAGTAGAAGGGGGGGGGGGGCGGGGGGGGGGGGGGTCTCACCCACATACTCAGGCACAGAGGAGGGACAGGGTAGGATGGTGGTGGTGGGTCTCACCTGTGTACTCTGGGCTGGAGGAAGGGTGGCAGGGGGGGTCTCATCCCTGTGCTCTAGGACAGAGGGGGAGGCAGGGTGGGAGGGTCTCACCTGTGTACTCAGGCACAGAGGCAGGCGACGAGGCAGTAGATGCATTCTCCCAGTCCCGCTCACGGCTCTGGCTGCCCAGCAGCCGGCTGGGGGACATCAGGCCTGAGGGGGAGGCGGCTCTGTGGGGCAGTTAGATATGGGGCAGGAGTTCCAATGCAGGGGCCAATCAGACTCACCCTCCAGCTCCCTGGGAGTCACCCCCCCCCACCCCAAACCTTCCATCTCCATCACTGCCCCCCCCCAGGAGACCCCACCCCCCCAAGAAAGGAGGAAGGACTCCAGGGATGGCCCCAGGCCAGCCCCCCAGCCTGGAGCTTTCCCTGCCAATGGGAGCCATGCTGCTTTCTCCCCTTGCTACAGGCCCCTAGGAGGAGCCAGGATGAACCCCCCTCCCAGTATCTAAAGTGGCAGAATCGGGCGGGGGGGGGGTGGAGCATGGAGAAGCACAGGGGGTTACTTGCCCAGCTCCCCCTCCCCACGCTCTCACCTGGAGGGTCTCTTGACAGTCAGTGAGTTCCCAGGGTCGTTGGCCACGGTGGAGAGGGACAGGGTCGACTGGGAGTACACCTTGCTGAGCCTGGATCCTTGGGGGGGGCAGAGAGCTCGGTCAGACAGCGCCCAAAACATCCCCCCAGCCCCCCAAACAGGCACCTCCCTGCCAAAAGTTAAGTCAGACTCGACTCCTGGGCCCTCCAGGTGCTGGAGTAGGTGGTTTGGCTGCGTGAGACAGCTGGGCAAGGGGTGGCTCCCATGAACCCACCTCCCCCTACCCCCCACTGTCCATGAACCACCCTCTCCCCTCAGCCGTACCGAGGAGCCCCTTGACCGGGCTGCGGGCCAGGGCCGAGTCGTCACAGAACACCGTCTTGGGCCGTCCCTTCTTGAGGGCGCGCACCGTGGTTGGCTTCTGCCGCAGCACCTTGTCCAGGTCCTCCATGAGCTTCAGCTGGTGGCGCCGCAGGTACTCCTGGCGTGTGAAGTCACCGCGCCGCGGGCTTGCTTCCTCCTCCGGCCGTGGGCGCTCCTCTGTCTGCAGCCTGGCACAGGGAGTATGGCCATGAGGGGCTGGGCTCTGCCCCAAAGCCCCCCAACCCGCCCCGCTGTAGGGCCCCCCGCCCCCCCCCCCCCACCTGGCACCACCCCAGTGCTGTTCAGACCAGCCCCCCACCCACACACTCCTGGGTGCCTGTAGACCTGGGCTCCACCCCACTGTGGCCCAGCCCCCCCAGGCACGCACTCCCCCTAGGTGTCACCCTGGCACCTGCCTCCACCCACCTGACATGGGCTCCTTCCCTGACACTGCCCCTGCTCCTCGACTCCCCCCTGCCCACCTGGCTGCCTCCTCCTTCTGCTCCTTCTCAGCCTCCAGCCACTGCTTGCGCTGCCGCGCCTCCTCATTGCGCCGCTGCTGGCGCTCCAGCAGGCTGGCCCGTTTCTGGGCCATCTCGTCCTCCGGCTTCTCGTCATCCTGGGCAGGGACAGAGCTAGTGAGCAGGGAGGGCTGGGGTCTGCAGGTAACAGTGATGTGGGCACACAGCAGGCACCGAGGGCAGCACTGGACATGGGGTGCTGCCACAGCTCCAGGGAGGGTGGGCACATCCCCATGAAGCCAGAACAAGCCTGTAGTGCATCCTGGGTATCCCAACACTCCCACCCACTTGCCAGCTCCACTGGCCTCAGCATAAGCCCCAGGGGCCCCAGAAAGCCACACAGCTGAGGGCAGGGTCCAGCTATCCCAGCCCATAGCCAAGCTGGGCCACTGCCCTGCTGCTTCAGAGGGAGGGGCAGGAAGCCACCCTGCTCAGGGGCAAATACTGACCATCCAGGCCTGTAACAGCAGTGGTGTTACCCAGACCAATATCTAACTCTCAGAGCCAGCTAAGCTCCTGCCCCGGGCACTATCCTGAGGCAAGGAGTTCCCCAGGGGAATGTGTCATTTCCTAGGCAGTCCTACAGCTATGGCTCGTGAGAGCTGGACGGCAGCATGAGGCCCAGATCCCCTTGCTGCTCTCAGGTCAGTTAATCCCCTGCCGTGTCCCCCATGCAGCCCCAGCATTTGGGAGTTAAGCAAAAAAGACAATAGCTAGACCCAGATCCACAAAGATTCTGAGGTGCCCAACTCCCATGGACCCTACACCCCCATCCCTCCACAAGGTGTTCTAGGCAATAGTCCAGGGGTTCTCAAACTGGGGGTTGGGACCCCTCAGGGGATCATGAGGTTATTACATGGGGGGTCGTGAGCTGTCAGCCTCCACCCCAAACCCCACTTTGCCTCCAGCATTTATAATGGTGTTAAACATATAAAGAAGTGTTCATGGTTTATGGGGGGGGGGGGGTCTTACTCACAGGCTTGCTATGTGAAAGGGGTCACCAGTACAAAACTTTCAGAACCACTGCAAGAGTCTGATCGTGGCAGAATCCAAAGGGTTAACTATACAGCTGAGCTAACATCCCATAGCACTGCCCCCACATGGCCCACTGGGACAGGAGCGACCCCCAGCCCAGCCCAGCCACAGCACCAGAGGGGCAGGACTGCATCCCAGCCAACCCCCTGCTGCAGACCCTAGGGGAGGAGCCTGCTCAGAGGAGGCACCTGGGGGAGGCAGGGAGCCAAAAACAGTAGCCCCAGGATTTCCCTACAGGAAGGAGCTGGCTGTGACCCAAGAGAGCCCAAGGGGAGGGGGAGGGAACCCCACAGAAGCCTGACCCAGCAAGTCTCCCGGTGCTGGGGACAGCACCCCTAGAGGGGAAAGGCCCCATGTGCCATTCCTGACACTGAGCCGGCCAGAGCAGAGCAGTAGGGACGGGGCAGACTGACCTGGGAAGGTCATCTAGTTTTACGGGGATGGGAGAGCAGGGGGTGACTTTACTTGAGGGACAATACCTGAGCCTGTAACCTGAGCCGGGAGGGGGATGGGGCCAGGTAACACCTTTGCCCAGAAAACTGAACAAAGGCTGGAGGGGGTGGGGGTGGAGAGTGGAAGGAAACGGCTGCAGGGGAGTTTCAGTTTGAAGCTGGCTGGAAAAATGGAGGGAACCCCCCAGGGTTGGGGTCTAAGCTCCCTGCCCCCCAGAGGGACCTGGCCGAGGGGTCCTGGTTGTGCCCGCAAGCTCTGCTTAGGACTGTGTTCCTGTCGTCTAATAACCCTTTGGTTTTACTGGCTGGCTGAGAGTCACGGTGAATCGCAGGAAGAGGGGGATGCAGGACCCTAACTCCCCCCCACACTCTGTGACAGCCCCCTAGAGGGGAAAGGCCCTGTGTCCCATTCCCTGCTCCCCCCTCCCCAGAGAGGGGCACTCCCAACCCAGGGGGTTCTGTGACGATGGCGGGTTGTGGCCGAGACAGGCTCAGTGCTGTCCTGAGTGGCTCCGGCAGGCAGCCCAGTGATGGGCCATGGGAGGGGTACCCTGGGGCAGCGGGGATGTGGCCTAGCTCTCACCTTGAAGAAGAATCCCAGGCCAGCCCGTGGCTCCGCATCCATCACCTCAGTCAGCGACTCCTCCAGCGAGTCGTCCCCGTCACCCTCCTCAGCCTGGAGGCTGGACAGTGGGATCTCAATGAGGCTGCTCCGCCGCTCGCCCGGCGAGGACACATCACTGGTGCCGTCCCCAGACACCCGGGCGCTGCCCATCCCGCCCTGCGGCACCACGGAGGCCACAGGGCGCAGGTTGCCCTGGGTCTCCAGCTCAGGGGACTCAAGTGTCTGCTCCGGCCCAGCTACCTCCTCCGAGAAGTGGATGGAGGAACGGGTCTGCATGGGCACCTGGCTGGGTGAGAACTTGCGCAGGTGGGGCAGGGTGTCCACGTTGTGGGGGGGCGTCAGCACCCGCGTCAGGGGAGGCAGCTTCAGCTCCACAGGCCGGGCATGCTTGGGACTCTTGGGAGGCGTGGGGGCAGCCTTCTTGGGGGCTGGCTGGGGCGAGCGGGGCGCAGCGGGGACAGGGGGCTTACGGGAGGGGGAAGGCGAGGGCGAAGAGGACGAGAGCTCCACGGAGCGGGGTGGCACGAATTCCCGGCTGGCCCGTGGGGCGGGGCCCTTGGGGGCCGGGATGACCCAGGCCTGGCTGGGCTTCTTCTCCTGGAGCAGGCGCTGCTGCTGCTGGCTCAGGCGGTGCATGTCCAGCTGCAGGGAGCTCAGCGCCGTGTTCAGCTTGGCCACGGCCCGGTTGTAATCGCCCAGGTTCTCGTCCAGTGGGGCCCCCTTGATCTCCGGCGAGAACGTCACCTGCTTCTCCAGGCGGCCCTGGCCTGGCCCCTCCTCCTCAGCCTGCACCTGCAGGCTGCCCGCGTCCTCCTCTGCCTCCAGCCGGGCCAGCCGCTCCTCCAGCGACAGCTTGGCCTCCCCCTCCTCCTCCTCCTCCTCTCCCCCCTCCCTGCGTTTGAGCTGCAGGAAGGCGCTCTTGCCCAGACGCTGGCGGTGCTTGGCAAAGATGGCCTCGATGCGCTTCTTCTGCGCCTCAATGGCGCGTCGCTTCTCCTCCAGCCGGGCACCCAGCTGGCTCATCTCGGAGCTCAGGGCAGGGCTGCGGCCAGGACTGTCCTCAGGGGGCACGGCGCCTGCCTCCGAGCTCTCACCGGTGCTCTTCTGCAAGGCCTTGCCCTCGGGGGCCACCAGCTTCTTCTTGCGCTCGGCGAAGCTGGTCATGCGCACGCCAGCACCGGAGGAGCCTGCGCTGTCGGGCTGGGAGCTCAGCGAGCTCAGGCCCGACGAGGTGTCGTCCTTGGTGCCAGGCAGGCGGGCAGGGTCCTCAGCGTCCGAGTCCAAGCTGCCGTCCCCAGGGGGGGTGGGGCCCTCAGCACGCCCGTTGGGGGGCCCGCTGTGGAAGCGGTAGACAGCCAGTGCTGGCGTGGGCTCGGGTGCCGGGGTGGGCTTGGTTGGCTCTGGCGAATGCAGGTAGAAGCCGTCGGCCGCCCCCTCGGGGTGCAGGCGCTCGCTGCTGTGGATGATCTGCAGGGCCTCCTCAATGGTGGGCAGGTCGGGGTACCCGTCCGCCAGCCCGTTCTCCACGGGGGGGCCCTCGCGCTCCACAACCCCCTTGGCAGACAGCGCCACCTTGTGCACTGTCCGGTGTGGCGCCACCAGCCCATTGGGGGCCTCGTCCTTGGCCAGCCGCTGGGCAGCGTCCTCAGGGAGGGGGCCAGGGGAGCGGGCCAAGCGGGTGGGCACAGGTGCCAAGCTGTCTGAGCTGATGGAGCGCAGCATGCCCACGGGGTTCCCCATCACAATGTCCACGTCACTGTCCAGCCCAAAGGGGATGCTAAATGACACGGCCTGTGACAGCGGATGGCTGCAGGGAAAGGAGGGGTGAGGGGCTGGCCAGAGACAGGCCCTGCCCCCAGAAAGGGATGGGCCCCACGTTACCATGCCCACCCCAGAGGGGAACAGGCCCTGCCCCCTGCACAGATCACAGATGACTGTGAGGACAGCAGGGGGCCAGGGTCTGGCTATGGAGAGACAAGCCATGCCCACAAAAAGGGACAGCCCCCCCCCCCCCCCAGGCCACATGTGCCAGCTCTGGCCCTTGCACAGAGCTGGGGGTGGGATGGGCTGAGCTGGGGGAAGGCTCCACCTCCCATATCCCCATCCCCACCCCTACCAAGGGTTAGGGCCCAACAGCTCCTGGCCCAGCCCCCACACCTGCGATGCTCCCCACCCACTCAGCCCCTTCCTGCCTCACCTCAGCTGTTTCTTGCTCCAGGGTTTGCCAAATCCGCCCTCCACATGGGACATTGAGGTAGAGTGGTGCATGGAACCTGGGGCACAGAGCTATGGTCACACACAACCCCCCAGACAGCCTGGAGCCCCCAAGCCCCTGGGGCCTCACATCAGCCCCCTGCTGCAACAGCCCAGAGCACCCCAACCCTCAGAACCCCACCCTCTCAGATGGCCCATAGCCCCCAATCCAAAACCATGTAGGGACCTCACAGAATGGCTCAGACCCACCCCAACATCTGGGGACCCCAGCCTGCCAGCCCTCTAGGATGACTCAGATCCATCCACGCCCCCAACCCCGATCCATCCCATGCCCCCCCCCCCTAGAATAAGCCAGAGCTGTCCCCAGCCCCCTCCAGGATGGTTTGGGGCAGGGACTGGGTCTATAGGGACCTGGGCTGGGGGCGTTACAATGCCTCTCTCTACGCCCTTATGTGCCCAGGGGCCTGGATGCCAACTCAAGGGGTTCAGGGCCAGATCAAGCTAGGTGGGCCTTGGAGGTCCCCCATTTTTTCCCCTATGGGGGCTCTGAAGCTCCTAGCTGGGGACCCTCGCAGACAGCAGGCATCGGTCAGGGGAGTGTACCCCCAGCTAAGGTCAGACCAGGCCTGAACCCCACACAGCCCCAGCAATAGCTGGAGCCTTCCCCGACCCCCAGGGCCAGTGCAAGGATATTTCACGCCCTAGGCAAAACTTCCACCTTACGCCTCCCCTCCCCCCCGGAACATCACTTATTATCAACTTTCAAAAATGAATATAGTGGAGTTACATCTGACGCGGAGGTTAGGTTCTAAGGTCAGCGCGTAAGAGGAAAATCACGTATAGTGAAAGTTACCATAAAGTACAGTATACACTAGAACAGGGGTTCTCAACCTACGGCAGGCGAGCCGATTTTTTTTTTTAAAGTGGCAGGCTGCAGGTTCCGGTGAACGGAACCCCAGGCCGGCGGACAGAACCCTGGCTGAACAGTCGGAAGCCCAGACTGTTCACCCAGGCCGGCAGGAGGCTGAGCAGAGCTGCCGGTCTCGGGTTCCGTCCGCCAGCTCCGGTCCCGGCTGCCAGCCCGCTCAGTGAACAGAACCCAGGCCGGCGGGCTCAGCAGCGGCCGGGACCCGCAGCTTGCGATTAAAAAGGCTCGCATGCCACCTTTGGTAGGTTGAGGACCCCGGTTCTAGTGTACACAGTGTATACTGTACTTTATGGTAATTTTCACTATATGTGATTTTCCTCTTACGTGCTGACCTTAGAACCTAACCCCCGTGTAAGATGTGACTCCACTGTAGTGTAAAAAAAAAAAATTGGGGGGCACCGCTTTTTGGCACCCCCAAATCTTGGTGCCCTAGGCAGCCGCCTAGTTCACCTAGTGGTTACACCGGCCCTGCCGACCCCCATCCCCCGTGGAGTGCAGGGCATCTCACCTAGCGAGCCTCTGAGCGGGGACTGCGGCTGCCCGCCTGGCAGGAGCGGGTGTAGGAAGCTGAACACCGGGGAACCACTGCAAGAGAGACCGCACATGAGATCACACCTGAGCCCACAGGTGCCAGCTCAGCACCACCTGGCCCCAGAGGAGACATCTGAGCAGCACCCATAGGCACCCTGTGCCAGCCCACCAGCGGGCTCCTGGCTTTGGGTATGGCGAACATGGTGTATCCTACTGCTGGGGATGTCATCACACTCAGGCATTCACCGGGGGAGCTCTGCCTGGGTCGCAGCCTGGCAAGGGCAGTGATTTGGGGCAGAAGCCAGCCAGACTCAGATTGGATTTTACAAACTAAAATCATTCAAGTTCTGCCCTGGCAGGAAGTTAACTAAATGAAGATCTGGTCAGGATGGCAGGGAGAGCCGTGATTCATAAGCCAGGACTCCTGGGTCCTGGAATGGAGTGGGGGCTAGTGGTTAGAGCAGGAGCGGGGAGTTAGGACTCCTGGGTTCGATCCCCAGCTCTGAGAGGGAGAAGAGGGTGTTTTCTTTTGGGGGAGGGGCAGTCCAGTCTCACAACCCCACTGAATGTTTCTCTTCCTGGGTGGAGGAGGAAATTGCCCCCGTATCACCCCCCCCCCCCCCCCCCACACCCTTCCCCCCCCCCCAATCATGATACCCTCGCTGCCCCCAGAGGGGGGGACAAACCCATGGCTGCAGGGGTCCCCTAGTGGGTCAGAGCTGATCCTGCCCAGGCGCTATTTAAGCTGGCAGGTGAGTCATGGCATCAGTACGAGCCCAGCCAGGGCCTGGAAAACAGCATCCTAGCAGGTAGGTGCTGCAGAGACTCCAGCCCCCCAGCACAGCCCAGAGGAACCTCCCGAGCTCCAAGGGGGTGAAGAGAGGTCAGGCTCCACAATACCTCCGAGACCCACCAGCTTTATGGAAGAGTCATCAAGAGCTCAGCAGGAGGGAATGACCCAGTGCTACCAGTCCAGTCAGACAGAAGTGACCTGGTGAGAGCGCCCCCTAGTGCTGCACTGGGGCCAGCACTGACTGCCAAGGGAGAGCGCCCCCTGCAATGCCCCCTAGTGCCACACTGACTGCCAGGGGAGAGCACCCCCTAGTGCCGCACTGGGGCCAGCACTGACTGCCAGGGGAGAGCACCCCCTGCAACGCCCCCTAGTGCCGCACTGGGGCCAGCACTGACTGCCAGGGGGAGAGCGCCCCCTGGGGCCAGCACTCACCAGCTCCTAGGGTACCACAGCAAGACCTGCCCACCATGCCAGACTGCAGGGGTGCTAAGACTCACCTATTGCTGTTCCCACTGCTGGGCGTCAGGGAGTCGCTCATTGAAGGCGGATCTGGAAGGCAGGCAGGGAGCATTAGTCTCTGCCCCCAGCCACTCCTGGGGGACGGGCATGGCCGGCATCCGCCCAGGCCAGGCTGCCAGCCCCACAACCCCAACCTGAACAGCAGCCAAGGTCCTTCAAAGGGCATCGCCAACACAGGGCCTTTGTTCTGGGGCTGGGCTGAGCCAGCTCCCAGCATGCTCCACTCCCACTCCTCCCCCGCCCTGACCTTGGCCAGGGAGCAGTAGCCACAGCCCGGACAAGGTGGCTGGAAGGGGGGGAAGTTCCCTGTGGCTGGGGGATGCAATGAACCCCCCACACCTTCCAGGAGCAGTCAGTCAGTCAGCACGACATCCTATGCTGGACCCCAGGCAGGAGATATCTGCCCCTTTCAGACAGGGCTCCCCAGCCCCCCCTGTACCCAACTGTGACCGGGGGGGGGGGGGTCTAGTGTCAGCCAAAGGGGAGAGATTAGAGGCACCTTTGCCCCAGGGCGATGTCTGGAGGAGACGAGAAACCATCCCCCCAGACTTAGCCTGGCCCAGCAGGGACTGACAGGGCCCCCTGGTACCTTTGAGTCCCCTCAGCTCCTTGGGGCGCACAAAGTCCGGCTTGAGCACCTCGAAGCACAGGAAGAGCTCAGCCAGGAACACCCCAATGTTGATCTGCAGGGGAGGCAGAACAGCTGCTCACATGCTCCAAAGAGGCCAAAGCAATGAGCCTTCCCCCCCCCCCCCCCCAGGCCCCCCCCAGCCAGGAGCGAGAGGCTGGACACCCCCCCCCCCCCCCCCCCGCGTGTGTGTGCAGACCAGGAGGGTGCCCCCCCCCCCGCCCAGACCAAGGCACCCGTGAGCACAGCAGGGACTCCAGGGCTGGGGGCACCAGTCCCGGGCCCAGCCCAGAGGGGGCCCTTTGTGCCAGGCTGCACAGCCCCAATTAGAGCAGCCGGAGGCGCCGGCCAAGGCCTCATTAGGACCAAGCTGGGCTGTTCCGCCAGGCTGGCTAATCCGCACCCTTCTGCCTCAGTGGAGAGCAAGGGGCGCAGGCTGGGGGGGGGCTGCAGTCACAGAGAGCTGGGCAGAGCCCCCCCGCCCCTAGAAGGCCAGAGCCAAGGGCTTTATGGTTAACCTGGCCCCAAAGTTCGCACCAGTATAGGAGGGGTGTCCTGCCAGGGTGAGTCCGAACCAGCCACCCCACTGCACGCAAGTACCCATGGCTCCCCTCAATGAGTTCCGTCCCCCCGTTCCAAGCTCCCACACCAGCTGGAGCACGTCTCCCTTGCACAGGGCACCGCCCACATGCTGGGGGCACCTTGGCTCAGGCCTCCCCAACCCCAACCCCTACCCCACTCACCCTTAGCACTGGGGGCACATAGAGCAGGTCCTCCAGTGCCAGAGGGCAGCAGCTGCCCAGGTACTCAGTGCAGAATTCCTGGATGAGCTGCAAGTTGTAGAGGCTGTCGGCCACCGACATGGTCTCCTTCAGGCACACGTCTGCAGGGAGGGGGGCATGAGTGCTGCCCTGGGGACTGCTCCCCCAGACCCACCCTGCCCCTCCTGGCCCCAGGGACTGCCCTCCCCGACCTGCCCCTCGCCAGCCAGGCTCCCCACCCCTGCCCCTCCCAGCCCCAGGGACTGCCCCACGCAGCCAGCACAGCCCCCAGGCTCCCAACCCATCGCTGCCTGGCACCCCATCCTTCGTCCAGCCCCACATCTGAACTCACCCTCCAGACGCACCACATCAGGGCAGTAATAGTGGATGGTGGCGGCAATGGCACCCCCGTTGGCCAAGTCTTTCATGCCCATGACGGGTGTGAAGCAGGGCGTCTGTTTGGGCAGCACCTTGTCCTTCCGGTACCGGATCTGCCCAGAGCAGAGAGAGAGGGGGGTGAACAGCTGGAGGGTGCCCCCCCACGGGGTTGGGGGGGGGGAGAGGAATTGCAAAGCCAGTGGCATTGCAGGCTCCTCCGCTCTACCCACCACCCTCTCAGGTCAGGGGCCCTCAACTGCCTAGTGACCCTGCCCCCTCCCATCACTCCAGCTGTCCCCAGCATGCTGGCTACAGCCCCCCTATTCTCCCAGCCCCCACCCCCCACAGAGGTCTCTATGGCTCAGCAGACCACGAGTGCCCCCATTCACACCCAGCCTTGGGTTCCCTCTTCCAGGGGTCTTCTTCCCCGTGCCCCCAGCACCCCGTTGAGAAAGGTCCACTCATCCCAAAACAGCTCCCCCTCCCATAGGGGGCATCAGGAAAAGGCTTCGTGCTGGGAGGGACCAGGCTCCCTCAGGGCAGGGGGGCTGTGGCTGGGGTCCCATGGGGCAGAGCAGCCAGGATGAGCTGTGTCCTGGGGATGCCACCCCCCCGCAGCACACAGGACACAGCACCTCCTGCCCATCATGGGGAGGAAGGCGTTTGGGGGCAGCTCAACACAATAGCCCTGCCCCTGAGTCTAGGGCTGCCCTACTGCCCCACAGGCCTGGCACGGAGGGAGGAAAGCAGGAAAGACAAGCCGGGGGCCCCCGCTCTGGGCCAGGCCCCCCTGCACTAAGAGGCCCCAGCTGGGTGAACAGGACACCCCTTCCCGTCCTGCCCTGAGGTCACGGCAACACTCGCCACTCGAGCACAGGAGACGAGACAACAGCCAGCAGCCCGGCGCAGGGACGGGCACACAGAGCCGAGCAAGGCAGGAGCGTGCAACTACAGCAGGGGAGGGGCACATCCAACAGACAGACGGCCAGCGGGCCAGACAGACAGCCTCGCGAAGGCATGAAAAAAGGGGGACCAAAAAAAAAAAAAAAAGTTATGGGATGCCCTGTTATTCCTGCTGCAATGAGCCCCTGGCAGGGACTGGGGAGGGAGAGCTCCCCCACCCCAGCAACATTGCATGGGGAATCCCTGCCCCCTCCAACACACCACAGCCCAGCCGCTGCAGGACCCCAACAGAAGGGGGTCAGGAGACCCTATCAGAATGGGGGAGGCAGTCTGGTCCAGGAGCCACTAGCTGCTCCATTACAGCCCAGCGGCCCCACGGGCCTGTGAACCAGACTCCCCCACCTCCCTGACATAGGCTGGGGGTGCCAAGCCATCCTGTGCTGCTCCTTTGCAATGGCATCCCCGTTGGTGGAAAGCAGAGTCCATGGGGCTTACAGTTCCCTAGCAGGGGTGGCAATGGACACTTCAGCCAAACACACGGCTGCCTGTCCCCAGCTTGGGGCAGCTCCTCCGGGGGTGTCCATCACCTGGGCCACCCCATATCTAACCTGGGGAGGGGGGGCACAGTGGTGTGTATGCCGGCACAGGGAATCAAACCTGGGACCTTCAGAACTAGGAGGGACCCCCCTGGCAAGACGCAAGCTCTTGGCCACTGGGTGGGCTGCGGCCACTAGATGGCACCATGACGCTAGGCCTGTGCAAACACCCTATCGCTCCCCAGGGGCAGCCTTTGGGGGGCAAAGCTGCTATTACATGTGACTCTATTGTACCCTGCAAAGTCAGGGGGGAGACACATAGTGAAGCACAGACCTATGAAAAGTTGGGGGGGAGCAAACCAAGGTCTGGGGGAGCTGCCCCTATTGCCCCATAGCAAGTGATGCCCCTGTCATTCAGGCCAACCCATCAGGCCCAGAGGCCACTGCACTTCCAAGCCTTTCAGCATGGGCAGGGCCTGCTGCTGCGGGGAGATGGGCTGGGGGCAGGAGCATTGCAGGAGGAATAACCAGCCCCCCGGGCAGGGGATGGAACAGAACAAAAAATAAGCTCAGTGGGTGCGGCGGGCACGCAGCAGCGGGCACAGCAGGGCACAGGCACTGAGTGATACGTTACCACAGGAGGTTTACTCCCCGACTCCTTCAAACAAAAAGCGATGGCATGCTGGATGCAACAGCAAAGGAAAGAGAAAGCCTTGTCAATGCGGGGGCCCAGCGGCTGCCGGAGAGAGCGCCACAGGGAGGGAGCTGCTGCCTGGCCAGGCCTGTGGGGGGCGCCACTCTACAGCCCTTCCCTCTGGGGCACTGCCTTCTGAGCCTGCCCCAGGGTGGCCCTCTCCTAACATGCAGCTGGGGTCCCTGCAAAGATGCCTCCCTATAGCCCAACTAGACTGTGCGGCACCCCTCAAACCCAGTGCTAACCTAACCCTGGGGGGTGGGCACCCTCCTGCTTGTAGCCTGGACCCCAGAGCACTGGGGGCCCTAACCCCTAGAGGGGGATAAGAGCAAGAAAAGAAGGGGGGGGGGAGGATGTGTCATGTGACCAGCATGCTGCTTTTGATTGGCTGTCTGACTCCCCCACTCCTGGGTCTCTTAGCTCATTACTGAACCCAACTCTCCCCAGTGCAGCCATAGGGTCCGTTTTGGGGGTCACAGGCTGGACAGTCCTATGTACCCTTACCTGACCCTCCCCGCACATGGATCCTGAACCTGGCAAGAACCAGGCAATGCCCCTCCCTTCCCATCCACCAGGAGGGGATTCACCCCCCCACCCTGCTCAGCAGAGCAGATGCCACAGACCTGTGTGTAAGAAGCTAAGAGACTGAAGAAGGGGATACATGGGGCGGCGGGGGTGAGAGGGAAGGAGGAGTTGTGAGCAAAGGATGCTGGGATGCATTCACCACCGTCTGCTGGCCTCTAGCAATGGGCACCACCCGCCACCCCCCAGCAGAAATCCCCCACAATGGGGTCTGACAGGGCAACTTCTGGTCTGAGCCCAGCAGACTCACCACCCAAGAGAACCCCACCCAGCCCTTGGGGGATCCGGCCTCCCCCCCCCAAGGGACGGGAGGGCACCCGGGGGACCCCCCCCCCCGCCCCCCCCCCCCCCCCATGAGCCAAGCCCAGGGGTGGAGAAGGAATGGCCTCCCTACAGCAGGCACTCTCCCACAATGCTCTGGGCCATCACCCCTTCCAGAGTAGGAACTTCCCTTAGTGCTGGGGCCTCTCCTCATCACCCCTCACAGGGGCTCCCCCCCCACCCCCCACACAGTGCCCTGGGGCCTGCCCCTCTTCACCACCACCCACACAGGGGCCACCCTTCCCACAGTGCTCTGGGGCCTGCCCTCCCCAGGGTTCTGGG